AGTAAGTAAGTAAATAAATAAATAAATAAATAAATAAATAAATAAATAAATAAATAAATAAATAAATAGCTCTCTTTCCCTAACTCCCCATTTCCTTTTAGGGATGTCAGTCCTCTTTTCCTCATAGCCTTGATCCTTCCCTCGTAACGATGGCCAACATAGAAGGAAGAAAGCAATTGCCATTTTCTTTATAACATCACCTTCTTGCTAGCAATAACTTCTTTCCTTTATTACTTCATGTCAGGTTGGCGTTGGAAGAAGAAGGCTCGTGGAACTGTGAATAAGGAGGGTGTTGTTCAACAGCTCTGAATGTTTGCACACATTGCTTTGGGCTACTTCGGGCCAACTGGGCAGAGTCACCTATGGAGGGCTCTTGTGTTTTTAAAAGCCAGATGACAGGCCAGAACATAGCAGCTGCAACTTTTTCCTAAGATAGAGACCTAGTGGTGTTAAAATATGCAACTGTTATATTTTTGTCAGTTGTGAAGCTTTTAAATATGGGGTATGTCTTGCAGACACACATACGGCTGCAGACACTCAGACATACAGAGAGAGACAGAGAGAGAATCAAACTTACGCAGAGTTTATTCTTAGCCCTATATTTATTTAGGTCTCTTTGTCACATCTGTGTTTCCACACTAGCTGTGCCTTACCTCCCCCCCTGATTTTCTTCTGCTGCTCTGGTTTCCACCTATCAGCATGCCACCTTTGCAGATCAGTTGGGATTAGAAGGAGTACTTGCATTTCTAGTCAGCCACTTGCTGTGCACAGGCGTTAGCTCTGCTTAAAGTGGCCACAAGAAAAAGAGGATATGAAATGTGGCTGCCATATCTTTTAGTAGTTTGTATGGGACAGAGGATTTCAGATGGGGTAGGAAGCAGAAGTGTCTTGGCTAGACTATATCCTGAGATACTTAAAGTGTACTGCTTAGCGCTACCCCCATAGTGCTTTAAGCACTCTCTAGGCAGTTTACAATTGAATTATGCAGGCTACACATTGCCTCTCCCCCCCCTTCCATGAGCTGGGTACTGAATTTACCAACCTCAGAAGGATGGAAGACTGAGTGAACCCCAAGGTGGCTACCTGGGATTGAACCTGGATTGTGAGCAGCGTTTGGGGCTGCAAAGCTGCGGTTTAACCACTGCGCCATGAGACTCTTGCCTTTCAGGTGGATGACATCGGGTAAATCTCTCCCACTCAAATCCCCATTATCCCCAAGCTCTTCCCTCTGACATCGGAGTCATTTTCCCATGCAGAGCCAAGCAGCAGCAATTGCTTTGTGCCTCTCCATATACAAAGAAAGAGCACAGGGAAGTAATCTGCACTAAAGACTATCTTTCTTCAGCACTGGTGAAGGAAGTCCTTTCTTATCTCTAATCAGTGCAGATAAAAGCAGAATTTCCTGCTCAGTCCTAGAAAAAGGCAGTCTTTCTCTGGCACTGAACATTGGATGGGAATTAGGAGAGCAGTAGAA